AATTTTCACCTTCATGAACTGGCACTTTAAAAATCTTCAGTTCCAAATTTAAAAATTCTTTTAAAAATTTTAAATTTAAATTTAAAATTCTCAGGGTTACTCGCCCCACGTCTATAGTGCTGCAGCGGCTACTTCTTTTTTCAGCACTGTACAGGTGTTAATCTGTGTAGGCTCCCTGTGTGCGTTCTGCTGCTTATCTTTACTACGTGTCTATAGACTATAGACGTGGGGCGAATAACCCTGAGAATTTTAAGTTTAAATTTAAAATTTGGGAAAGAATTTTAAAAGAATTTTTAAAATTGGAAGTGAAGATTTTAAAAGTGCCAGTTCATGAAGGTCAAAATTGACGTGTGTGGGTAGCAAAGATGAGGTACGAATCAGACAAATATCAGCGAAGTAGATCCTGTTAGCAGAGACGAAGGGAACAATTGGGAAGACCTTTGTGTTATTTAAATTTTAAACTGGGTGCAGTGTAACAGCTACATGAGTGTATCCACCTTATGATGGACGTTTGCGGCCGAAACATGTAGTGTAGAAGAAAGCAAGACGAAAGACCTAAAATAAATTGTTGCACTTAGGACGGAATTTATATCATATAACCTTCTATTTCTTTTCCCATTTTCCCTTCTTTCTTTTTCCTTTTTATTACTTATTTTCTTCCCTTAATTCCTCTTGCACGCAAATTGTCTCGCAATTGTTATTTTTTGTCATAATTTCAAAAGTTTCTCCAGTAAAGAATTTTTAAATACTTGTGGATTGAAGAGCTACGACGTGTAACCTGGTATAAGTTTATCGTCGTTTTGGATAAACGTACTTCTTCCGTGTTGAAAGTAGAAGAATGAACCAATCAATGAAGCAAACATTAAGCAGTAGGTATCTTCTCCATCTGCTTTGTGCTTGTTTGTTGGTTTACTCTTCGACACTGAAGATGAAGTCAGTATAATTATTGGAAACGTCAGTAAATTTCTATCAGACTATATTTCATAACTTTCAAGAGATAGCCCTCTTCATGGTCACTGTCATTAGAAATTCAAACTTCACACGTTCGTGTGTAATTTAAAAATAATATGAAGAGAATGAATTAGGCTAAACTTCATATCTCACTTTTGCATAATTATGTAGGTTTGATCAGCATAGCTCTTTGCATCTATAAAATACCCAAAGTAGAGTTATATTTCCTACCATAGCTTTTATTTTCGATTTCTGGCTTTATAACCTAGGATATATATATATATATTTTTTATTTAGAACGTGGGCAAATTGGAGCCCCTTCTGTACGGCAGCTTGTTCAAGTTCTTCACTGACTTTACAGAACTAACATTAAATTGGAGGGCAGACACACAGACACACATAGACAAGCAAACGTTTAAATAATAAAGAAATTATAAATAAAAAACCCAGAAAGATCAATATTGCAAGTTTCTGACAGGGCTGTCCAAATCGAGGCCAGTAAAATACCACATTGTTTCTTAGGTAATGAACGGTTGGCCGAATTATGAAAAATATGTTGTGTTCTGCATATCTGCCCTTCATTGGTCATATCTGCGAAGCACAGTTAACTACAGTAATTTATGGACCCATAAGGTTCAGAAACACGTATTTAAATCCAATATTTTATAGTCTTCCGTGAAAAGTTGACGAAAATTAGACTAAATTGTTTATGAAAATGCGGCAAAATTGTCCATTCTGTAGTATTTATAACGTGAACACTGTGGTTAAATTTTCTTGTTTTTTTTATATTTGTCTGGTAGTAGCAAGTTGAAATAATTGGGGAGAAGTTTCATCTGTTAGTGAACAAAGGCAACGAGAATTTGTATGCTTCATGGCTGAGCAAGCTTTCTGACACTACTAGTTATTCCTAAGAGGAAGGAAGTTTCATCATATTGTCACGTGTTGGGTATGTAACGCGACAAATAACTTTACGCCGTCTTAGATATAACGAATTTATTCCACTCACTCTTACATTTACACAATTTACAGTTCCACAACTACCGCCATCGACAGTATCACAATTAATTCTCCATTCCCTCTGGCGAATACTAGACTCAACTTACTGGTTACTTCGGTAATCCTCCTGTTATGTAGCTTCCGCACTGACAAGACAGAAAACAGTGATACGTGATAGTTACCAGTGTTGCGTAACGTCGTGTTTACAGTCGTTGCTGGAGAACGCTGCCGAGAGTTGTTTATTGCTGTGCAGTAACCGCCGTTTCCCCTGTTACGTCACAATGAGAAGCGCTGATACGTCACCGCGGGAGGCGACGGAATGTTTACTGGCAGTTGCTCCGATGTTACGTCACCGCTGGAAATGGGGGGGCTCTACCGAGCGTTGCGCCGTTCACATCACAATATTTGAGGGAAGGAAAAAAAATCTGTCGGGCTTTACGCGGTCCTCATGCCACTTGTTGCTCAGTGATGTTCTGTTAGACAAAGTAATAATTTTACCACGATTTTTATGCTTATTTAATTTTGGTAATATATGTGAAATAATAATAAAATTCGCGATCTCACATAATATTCTCAGATATACAAATCAGCTACAAATTGGAAATTGAAGGAGGATATGTAATACCTTAGGCGATGTTTTTACATATATTGTTTAACATTACATACTCGTATGCTTTCATAAGAAACATACTCATAGAATCTTGCTGCTCTGACAAATCAGAAATACCAAGTTTTCTATGTACCTATACTGATATTTCCCATGCATGTTGATAAAATTAGTAACCTAGATTGAAAGAAAATAGGAAAACGTGAGGAGAAACACAAAGGAAACGGAAGGTTCCAGAGAATGGCAGCATATGCATGGCTTTGTCATTCCCTGGTATAAGACGGAAGGACCAATTCTTTATGGTGGAAGGTCAGACCACATTTGCACTGCACGACACTGTGACTTTTACATGACGCGACCATTTCCTTGGCCGTGTTACAGTTGATTTAATGTAGAAGAACGGCAAGAGACTCTTAGCTAAGGAACTGACAATTCCAGTTTTTCTCTTGTGCATAAAACATGAACATTTTCAACCACGACAAGCGCTTCTCTTCATAATCACCAAAATTTATGAACAGTGTCACGTAATAAAAATAAATCAAATCTATGTTGGACATAGCAAATTGTGCGGTGCATGAATTTAGGGAGCTGACCTTTGTTAATCCAATATTTAACTTGATCTAGTAACCACTAAAATCCATCCTCACGTGCAAGTGTACTTGGGCCGGATTGTACTGGCGCACACGATGAAAATGTCTCCTTTGAATATTATTAGGTTATCATTTGATCTCATAAGCATGCATGCTCTGATACAAATATTTATTTCTGTTTTCAGGGATCGAGTAGTAATCTTTTTTCGTGTCCAAACGGTAAGTAAATTTATTTGCATATATATTTGGCTAAATTACAAGCCATGTAACCGCAGTGAGGACTTCAGTTAAATCACTAAATGTCACTAATTCTGATCTGCTGTTGGGTCCACGCGGTACTATAGTTGGTTAAGTCAATATGCTACAAGCCAGAAGGTTTCGTGTCCAGATGATGTGGATTTTTTTTTTCAATTGACCTAATCGTACCAGCCGCACTACGACCCTGGGGTCGAATCAGCCTCTAAAAGAAATGAGTACCAGGAATCTTCTTGGGGGTTAAGGGCGACCGGATCGTAAGACTGACAGCCTTATCGCCATCTGTAAGCCGATTGTCTAGAAAATGTTGGAGTCTCACAACCCTATGGACCTTCATGGGCTGTTACAGGGATAGCTTTACCTTTCGTCCTTTTTATGATTTGCTGTTGCATTCCTGGTGGTCCTCTGGTTCTCCTTCAGAACTGTGAGATGAACATATGTCTATTTTATTGTACACCTGTGTAGCCCAATAAGTAAGGTACGCCTGTTGGGAGATGAGGGAGGCCAAAGGACACTGCTGCAACACCGCGGAAGTTGCGCGTATACCATTCAGTTAAAAATTCACAATTAGAATATTATCCAACAGCTGTAATATTATAAACACATGACACTACGTAGTGTAGTGAGGCCCTTAGTCTGTTGTCTCTAAAGAAGAGAAGAACTATACAATTGAAACAGGTTATCAGGCTATGAATAATACAGGATGATTTCAATTTATTGTCGGGTATATATGAGACAAACTCCGTCTTAAGTGCAACAATTTAATTGTAGTTCTTTCTTCTTCCCTTCCTCCACACTACATGTTTCGGCCCTAAATGGCCATTATCAGGTGTGTATTCTTACGTAGCTGCTACACTGACCGTAGTTTAAAATTTAAAGTCACCAGTCTTTCCAATTGTATGTATGTATAAAATCTTTGTTAAGCTACACGCGTCAATTTGATTTCTAAAATTGGCACTTTTTTAAAACTTCAATTCAAATTAAAATGTCTATAAATTTTCTGTTCTTTTTCTTTTTCCAAATTTTTAAAAATTAAAATTTTCTCGGGGTACACGCCCTAATAATTATTGTCGGGGTTTAAGTTTATAGGCCACGGAAAACCCTGCAATAATTTAGAATCACAGTCTATTCCCCGAGCTTAACTGAACACCACGACATAAAGTATGGGGAAGGTTAGGTGTGGATGCTCGTATTTTAACCTTGTTACTAGATGGAACTGCCGGTCACGGTAGCCGAGCGGGAGGTAGGCGTAGACCCACTGGGGCTGTAGTGCCAAGGGGAGGGGGGGAAAACTAGATGGAACTAAATGGTAAGACTCACGTTCTGGCTACCTTATTCACGGTGAGAAGTCCTAGGTCCAATTAGAGGGAAGGTTTTGCTGACCCAAGAGCTTAACTAGACGTATCGGCGAAGAAAGAAATTATTGCTTTCGGGGTCTGAACCCCTATCGTCCAAAGTGTAAGTAGCCCCTACATCTTTTTTTTTTCACTGGCTCTACAGCTCACTTGGATGGCCTCTGATTTTCAATTTCATGATCATTTTACAGACGGTAAGACTCCTTGGACGAGTGATCAGCTCGTCGCAAGGCCTCTACCTAAACACAGAATAAACAGATACACATACCAAGCATCCATGCTTTATGTGGGATTCGAGCCCACTATCCCGACTTCTGACCGAGCGAAAACAGTGCATGCCTTAGACCGCTCGGCTACACTGACCGGCCTGTCAGTACATTATACTGACTGTTTTATTGTGGCTCATGTGGTACTGTTTACTTCCGCTAATCAGCATCCGACAGTACATTAGTTAATATTAGAAAAGACAAATTCTTAAGTTTTTATGTACTTTTATGCTTTCTTTGTGTGTAGGGATTACAGCACCGTTAGAAATGACGTGGAAGAATTGCAGATGGCACCGTGACATAGAATGTTGGTGGTGTGTGTGCATGAATGTTACACTTCTGTTCCTATAATTTTTACACTAGTAGTAGGTTCAAATATGCTTAATAATGCAAAACAGCATAGGAATGACAGACTTCCAGGCGTTCTAACATATTGCTTATCATCGTCCTCTGTGAGCCCTTCAGTTTTGTGGTTATGCCTGTATGCATTCACTAAGTTTCATCTGAAAGTTTCCTAACGGAATTTAAAATCCATCTACTGGTCGTCCTACGAACTAGTTTCCCATGGAAACACCTGGTTTTGTAACTGTTCCAACCGGGCTCTGAACTGTAGCCTAGCCGGTTCACACCGTTTCGAAAGAAACAAAACAAATCTAATCGAGTCCGTCTAAATCGGTCTAAATATTGCGGATGGTTGCGTTTGCTGTCACGAAAGCTTCGGAACGAAGAGGTTTGTGATGGTTTCAGGTTTCAGGTTTCATTTCTACTTTAGAACTATACACAGCGCGTGCTAATGCGGCCATGGTGTAAGAAATATTGAACAGAAATTTGTGAGGAAATAATAGAATAATTTTATTGGTTAGCCTGGGATTCTAAGTAGCAATTGGATATAAGTCGAGATTCCTGTAACGAATATATAGACTAGGCTACCTTCTTCTTCTTCTTCCTTGACGAGTTATGCTCTGTGACCTGTTCCTATTCAGAATTAAATTCTGGATTTATGAATCTTATAGACATTCAGTGTTTCTTTTCTTTAATTCGCTTAATGGGGGGTGGAGTCCAGCCGGGTCCACTCGACACGGAGGCCACTGATTGGCGTATTGTAGCCTGCCTGGGATTATTACGATGATGGAGAATTTGGTGGAATGAAGATTGGCAGGGGAAACCGAAGTACTCGGAAAAAACCCGCCCCAGCGCCACTTTGTCCACCATAAATCCCACTTGACCAGACCCGAGATCGAAGCCGGGCCGCCGACGTGGGAAGCCAGCGACTAACTGCTTGAGCTATGACGCGGCCTTGACATTCGGTGTTACTCCTTGGATGGGTGACAGACCGCCGCAAGGTCACTAATCAGGCTAACTTACGTTCAGTTAATTATCAGTAGGTCTATATGGGATTAGTATGGGTATTTGGGTCTATGAATAGATTACACTTTTTGGTTTCTATGCGCCGGCCACTTATGCACTCACACCAGAACATTGTAATCACTGTCCTTGAAAGATATCACAACGTCATTGTCAGAGACAACTTCGAAGCTGGCGTCGGTTGAGGCGTCGAAACCGGCTTTTACCTTTATATGAATGGGGCTTTCTCATCCCATTTTGAAATGCATTTACTACAGCAGTCACCGATTTCGAGACATCCTTGTCCTTAAAGGCGTCATTCATTTTAAGTTATATTCCTTCATGTCCTCTTGCGCATATCCTTTCCACGAACCCTTGATCCTAAATGNTATAAGAGATCTGCAAGCAAAGAGACCGTGAGAACCGGTAAAAGCAGACTCCTTTTACCGGTTCTCACGGTGTCTTCGCTTGCAGATTTCTTATATTTTTCTTCTACCCTGAAGATGGAGGCGATACGTTCCTCCGAAACGTCGGTTAACACCACATATACGCGGTGCCAAATCCCAGAAGACTGCTTTCTTTAAAGTTGCTTTGTTAGAATGGGCCTATAGGAAATTAGTAGTCAATTAATTATGTTTCTTGAATTTTATTTCCCCATGTCACATGTTCTACAATTTCATGCTCATTATCTGCGTATTGGTTGTAGTTAGATTCGACATCAACATCGGTGTCGATTTCGGCTCCTGTATGGCTTCGATTCTCTGATCCTGTTCCAAAAAACAACGGGTAAAGCGCACCTGGAGTCCGAAACATTTCAGGAGGTAAAGAAATATTTGGTTTGAAGTTCTGATACTTCCATTTCTAATTTGCGTGTGTTTCTGCATGAATTTGTTCATATTCGAATGTTGTTAAGTGTGCGTATACTTATAAATGTTTCAACTTGAAACAAGATTGTAAAAGTAAGCCGCTTAATAGCAATGTTTACAGGTACTTTCGGCAGAAAAAATATGAATTATCCATGCTCTTAAAATCGTTTGTAGCAAAACAGGACCGGAAAACGGGGCAAGAAAAGGACCTTCTTGCTAATAGAATAGGTTCCGGAAGTTAAATACATGGTCCTCAAACATATATACAGGATGCCCCAGGAGGTTGGTGCCACACTTCAGGAGTGTACTGAGGGTTCCCTATAGAACAACTTTGAAATAGGAACCCATGTCCGCAAACGTAAAATAGCAGCGCTAGGGTGGCATTTAACATCATTTTGTTTAAACTTGGCGCCTCAATGTTGAAGAGCATGCACAGGCATATTACCCCCTCCAAACTCTTTAGACTCACCTGCTAGAGTAGATATTGGATTTGGCGCTCTCTACTTTCAATGCATGCGTTACATCGACGAAAGAAACTTTGGCGCACCTTTTCAAATATTCCAGGTGTCTCACGGATCACGTCACATGCAACAAGTATTCTGGCCAACAGCTCGAATTCATTATCCACAGGCGTGTCGTAGATCAGGCTTTTCACATGGCCTCAGACTAAATAGTCCAGAGGTGTCAAGTCTGGAGATCGGGGTGGCCAAGGCACTGGGCCTCCTCTTCCTATTCAACTACCATGAAAAGCAGCATCCTGGTAGTCTCGTGATACAGTGCTGAAGTGTGCCGGCTCTCCGTCATGCTGTATCCACATTTGCCTCCACACAATCAGTGGCATGCCTTGTAACAAATTAACTACTTAGTAAGACCGGTTGTAGAGCCCAAAGTTACTGTGTAGGAACTGGGCATGTGTGTTCTGTGTGTGTAGGTCTTACTGTAGAAGCTTTCTACTTAGTAAGCCCGGCTGTGGAGCCCAAAGGCAAGTTTCTGTCTGCAATAAATGTGTATATGNATGAAAAGCAGCATCCTGGTAGTCTCGTGATACAGTGCTGAAGTGTGCCGGCTCTCCGTCATGCTGTATCCACATTTGCCTCCACACAATCAGTGGCATGCCTTGTAACAAATTAACT